CCCTTTTCTTCTCTTCTGTCCAAGCTTGGAGTGCTGAACCTCTGCCCTCCAGCTTGTGGGGGGGTAACAGCAGAAGAAACGTCAGTTTTTTCTTCACCTAAAACGGCAGTGCAGAAGGAGTGAACATGAGCCTGTCACGTGCTTCCACAACGGTCGACAACGACCCTTTTCACTTTACCATTTCACTGTTTTATTCCTTTTACAGTCTGAGCTGGTTTCTTTTGTCCTGTAATGAACACTTCGATATATAAATGAAAGGAAGAAGGCAGAAGGAAGATCAACTTTCCTTCTTCCAATTTTCTCTGAGAAATTCCTTTGTTATGTGTCACTACGAAATCCACACCTTCCATCTCAAATATGTTCGACGCCACTGATGACGGCTAAAATCGTCGCGCGAGTGATGGAGCAACTTCGTCAAATCAATAATGCAAGCATCCACCCTCTGCCTCTAATATCCAAGTTTTAGAAATGGGCCGGGCTTCCATGTATGTATGGCTCATTAGAGAAGCCGAAGAAACTTCTCCTCAAAATCTGTGGCGGATAATGAGATAGCCCTTCGCTCTCTCGCACTCTCCTCATTTCATTTCCAAATCTCCTCCCCAATTTCTACACTCTTCACAGAACAACCAAACCAATTTCTTCTCTATCCAGCCAAAAATCGCCGACCAATAGGTGTCTCCTGGAAAATTTTTACATCCAACCGTGGTTGGAGCTTGTAGCTTCAACCAGCCACTTGGCGGACTACTATTGGTTATTCCACCTTTTTTCCCTCTATTTTTAATGCTTATATATTATTGCTTTAAAATTAATAAAAACTGGAATTAAAAAGCAAAATATAAATTGACAGACGGCACGAGTGACGGAGAACAGAATCTTGACGGACAGAAACATAATTAATTAGGTTATTCTAGGTTTATTAAGTTTCTCCAGTCGCAAACGAAGAAGCTGAAGCCGCACGGCTGAGAAAATCTGATCCCCGACGGCTGCAGGAAAACAAGGTACGTAGTATTAGCAGCCAACCATGGCGTTGGCAGGTGATCTGATTCATATAACTAAATTCTAAGTAGATAGGTAGTTCTGTAAGCAACCTTTTATTGCTTGGGAATTCGTACCTCTTATATGTTTATTTGATGCTTGAACTATAAAAAGCTGCGATAGGAGCATCTTACATACATACATGGCAATTGACAAAGACTTAATTAAGCTAAAAGGGGGTAATGGTGTTCTTGTTTGTTCGCATCCTTTAGTAGGAAAGGAATAATTATTCCAATTCAAGTTTTTTATGAAGCAGCTTTTTGTTTGTCCTTTTCAATGGGACTCACCATGATCGACACTTCTTATTTTTATATAGTACTTTCAATTTTAATTTTTTTTACATCAAGCCTTGCTAAACTTTTTAGCGGGTGTTCTACAGATATGAGTTCACATGCAGGAGATGAAGAACCAACTCATCCTATAATGAGTGGAACGTATGGAGTACCACAGATTGGGATGAAGTTTGATTCTGATGATATGGCTTATGCGTTTTATAGTGCATACGCACATGGTCTTGGATTCAGTGTAAGAAAGCAATTCATCAAGCGAACTTCAACGGGAAAAGTAAAAAGAAGAACATATACATGTTCTAAAGAAGGAGGAAAATCTGCGAACAAAAAGGGAAAGGAGGTTGCTTACGAACGACCAATTACCAGAATAGGTTGTTTAGCAGAGATGACCTGCAAACTACAAAATGATGGTTTGCTTGAGGTTATCTCTTTTGAAGCAAACCACAACCATGATTTGGCTCCCACTCCAATGAAGCACATGTTGCGATCTAATAGAAAGATGAGTGTTGCTCAAAAAGCTATTGCAGATGATGCTGAAAAGGCCGGGTTACCAATCAAGTCGGTTATTAATTTACTCGCAGTACAGAATGGGGGTCGTGAGAACAATGGATTTTTGGACACAGACTACTACAATTATATTGATTCTCAGAGAAGGGCTAAGCTGATTAAGGGAGACGGTCAAGCAATTATGGATTGTTTTCAAAAATCACAATCAGATGATCCGTCATTTTTTTATTCGGTGCAACTTGATGATGATGATCTTATTATGAATATGTTTTGGGCAGATAGCAGGTCGATAGTTGATTACAAGCACTTTGGAGATGTTGTATGTTTTGATACAACATACAGGATTAACAAGTATGGTCGCCCATTTGCACCTTTTGTTGGAGTCAATCATCTGAAGGAGACAATTATTTTTGGGGCAGCATTACTCTATGTTGAAACAATCACATCATTCAAGTGGTTATTTGAAACCTTTTTGAAAGCAATGGCAGGAATGCAACCAAAGACTATATTGACAGATCAATCAGCTGCTATGGCCAAAGCAATTAAAGAGGTATTTACTGAAACCCATCATCGTTTATGTGTTTGGCATATTTACCAAAATGCTGCTAAACACTTAAGCCATGTATTCCATGCATCCAACCAGTTTGCTAGTGATTTTGGTTCATGTGTATATGATTATGAAGATGAGGATGAATGGCATGAAGCTTGGGATTCTATGCTTAAAAAGCATAATTTGGAAAACAATGAATGGTTGCATGGAATTTTCATAGAAAGAGAGAAGTGGGCCATGGTTTATGGGAGATATATGTTTACTGCTGATATGAAGAGTACACAACGTAGTGAATCAATGAACAATGTGTTGAAGAAGTACTTGAAGCGAAAACACAACATGGTGTACTTTTTTGAGCATTATGGTCGATTGGTAGTAGATAGACGCTATAAAGAGCTTTTGTCAGAGTTCAAAATGAGGGACACCCGTCCAAAATTGAGAGCAGATGTGGAGATGCTAAGACAGGCATCAGAGATATATACTCCTAAAGTGTTTCAAATGTTCCAAGAAGAATACCTCAAAGTTTGGGATTGTACCATTGATAAGACTAGCAAAACAGAAGTTGAAGTGGTGTATAAAGTGAGATATGCTGGTAGAGGTACAGAGCACCAAGTCCGATTTGAGTTTTCTTCTCAAGTTGTTGAGTGCAGTTGCAGAAAGTTTGACTTTGTGGGGATTCTATGTGCTCATGCCTTGAAAGTTCTTGACAAGAAAAATATAAAGCACATTCCCAAGCAGTATATATTGAAGAGATGGACCAAGGATGCAAAAGATGGAAAAATAAGTAGTTCAACTCAAGTTCATGGAGGGTCTAAGGAGCTCATTGGGAAGCGTTTCTTGAATCTTAATTACAATTTTCGAGAGATATCCACCCTAGCGGCTGAGCATGGCACTATGTATGAGCACACAGTTGGAGTACTTTCTAATTTGCTAAAAGATCTGCAGCAAATGAAAAAAAGTACACATGGTGAGACTTCTAATGAGACATTATGCTCAAAAGATGAACAGGATTATCCAATTGTAGCTGGAGTTAAGACCAAAGCTACAGTAGGACAACCAACAAAAGGCAGATTGAAAGGTGCATTAGAGCGAAGAAAAAGTTGTAAAAGTCAAACAAAGGCAAAGGTTTCTTCTTCTTTTAACCTTTTGAAACAAGCTGTTATGTGAGCTTATTATATTGATTGTAATCATTATGTTTCAAATGACATTATATGTACAGGGTAAAAAAATGAAAGCGGATTCTTCTCAGCAAGTTGAAAACAATCCTGAAGTTCATGGTCAAAACAGTCAGGTAATTGTTTTAGCTTATTCTAGTTAATGTACAAGAAAAGTTGGAGTATGTTCGTTTTCTTAAGTGATTCTATTATTATATATAGGTTAAGAAGATGAAAGCTGGTGATTCTAGGCCAATTGAAAGTTATCCTGAAGTTCAAATCCAAAATGATCAGGTTTGTTGTTTTAAATTGTTTTATTTGTTCCCCTCAATATAGTTGTATATATTTCTATTTATTGATAGACATTTCAAATTTTGTAGGCGTTGATTGATCAATATGAATCCCAAAGTTCGATTACTAGACCAACAGGATATATTCATGAAGAGCACTTTGACTCGACAATACCTTTCAATAATATGTCATACACTCAATTGTTACAGGTATAGAAATTAAGAATCATTTTTATGTGTGTTCTACAATTTTATTTATTAATATTTTTTATTGATGACATTTTTTGCAGGATGCAATAGAAAATTCTCATTATGTTCATCCAAAAGTGTGAAGATACTTATTTTCAAACGCAGTGGAAAATTCTCTATGTTTTGTTAACTACTTTGTTTTACTAAAGCTTGCTACTTATTGGAATACCTAGAATGAGTTTCAATCCTTTTATGTAAGAATTCTATTGCAATGGATTATTGTGAAGTATTTCAATTTCACTTTGTTTGTCATCAAGTATTCACTTAGTTAATTGATTGATTAACTAGTTTTATTAAAAATGACAAAATAATATCATAAAATAGTGATATACTGGTATCACTTCTTCCTCGTGCATGGCAAATTAAGGACTAGGAGCAATTAGCTCATTTGAAGGTCCACTGATATCACTTTTACTACCACCGCAGCTTTTGATTCCAACAATCAAATACACAAACATATATTTTATCAGCTGTGCGGCTATACCAGAGGTTTCAAGATTATGTTTTCAGCCGTTAGTGCCGTCTGTCAAATTATATTTTGCTTTTTAATTCCAGTTTTTATTAATTTTAAAGCAATAATATATAAGCATTAAAAATAGAGGGAAAAAAGGTGGAATAACCAATAGTAGTCCGCCAAGTGGCTGGTTGAAGCTACAAGCTCCAACCACGGTTGGATGTAAAAATTTTCCGTGTCTCCTCCGGCAATCAGCCATGGCTAACATGATCATGGCCTCCTCCAAGCCCTTGCTCTCCTCTCCTCCCACCGCCGCCGCCAAGCCAAAGCTCCCCAAATTCTCCCTCCCAATCAACAACACAAACAACAAATCGGCCCAATCTCAAATCACCTCCGCCGCCTTCAAACCCGCCTCCCTCCTGGCCACAATCTCCCTCTCCGCTGTTCGACTTCGACCTCACCCTCCCGATCATGATGGCGCAGTTCCTGCTCCTCATGGTGGGGCTCGACAAGGTCTACTACTCCCCGCTGGGGAAGTTCATGGACGAGAGGGACGCCGAGCGTGAAGGACACGTCGAGCGAGGTGAAGCAGCTGGAGGAGCAGGCGGCGGCGGTGATGAGGGCGGCGCGGGCTGAGATCTCGGCGGCGCTGAACAAGATGAAGAAGGAGACGCAGGAGGAGCTGGAGGAGAAGCTCAAGGAAGGGAGGAAGAAAGTGGAAGGGGAGCTCCAGGAGGCGCTGGCGAAGCTGGAGAAGCAGAAGGAAGAGACTATCGTGTCGTTGGATGCCCAGATTGGCGCCCTCAGTGATGATATTGTGAAGAAGGTCATTCCTGGGTATGTCAAATCGTGATGATTTGAATTCTGGTTTTGCAGATCCCCACAATGTTGAATACAATTTTTCTGTTTTGCTTGGATATAAGCTATACCCTAATTTCTAGTAATTGATAGAATGAGATGAGTTGTGTAAGCGGAAGTGCAAAAGGAATAAGGCTTCCATCGCATCCCATCCCATCCCACCATGGATGGAGTTTGACTTAGGGGTGGTTTGGATTGTAATGAATCACATAATATAAATGAAATCCATAAATGAAATCCATGTATTGATACAATGGATGCATTTTAACAATACATTGTTTGGTTGTTGAGATTCTATTTTATGTATTGATTTACATAAAATTACTTTTATGGGGAAATGCAAGGTTGTCAAACCGGTTTATACCGGTTTTGAAAGTGGAATGGTCCGACCGTGGTACAACCAGTATTCACGCCGGTTGTGCCGGTTTTAATAAAATATATGAGACAAATGGAAATCCTCAATTCCAAATAAATTAGTCATCAAAAAGCAATTAGAAAAATTATTTCACACAAAATAATTTATAGCTAAGAATTGGCAATTTATACTAAACAATTAGATGATTAAAAATAAAGATTTTGCATGTCACCGTGACATGGACTTTTCGGTCGACCTAATCCAAAAGGCGGTCGATCGAATTGACTAATTCATGTATGTGAGGTTCCGAGACGCGGTCGACCTCTTACATAATATGGTCGACCTCTTTGGTGGTCTAACAGAATGAAAGGTCGACCCAAATACCTCATAGGCCGACACTTGTGCACCTAACAGGTCGACCGCATTATAAAGAGGTCGACCGCATTCACACCGTATCCATATTATATCAAATTTTATCTAACATATGAGTTATAACATATAATATTACACCAAAATAACATATCGTACTTAGATCCAACATATAGTGAAAATTCACACACACTTATATAACATAAATATTCAAATGTTCAACTTAGTATTCCAAAGATTGAGTTAGGCGAAAAGAAAAATTGGAAAATAGGCGCATTTCGCAAACTAAAGAAAAAAATGACACAATTTGACCTCCAACCCGGCATCTTATAGCGGTCAGCCCGGCGGGGCGTGCGGCCCGTTTTTCTCACCGGGTCAGGGTCAAATTGGGTCGACCCGTGGGTCAACCCGCGGGTTGACAACCTTGATAGAATGAGATGAGTTGTGTAAGCGGAAGTGCAAAAGGAATCAGGCTTCTATCGCAGGGTTAATTCCCAAAATATAGTCTTTTTTTTTATTTACCACGAATATAAAATTATTTACAGGAATATTGTGTTTTGAAGGAGGCAAGGTAGTGATGGCGCCCGAGACTCAGAATGTTGAGTTTTGAAGGGGGAAAGCAGCGACGACACCCGAGTCTCAGACTTTGGCGCTATTTGAAATTTTAAAAAATTTCAAATAGCGCCAAAACCTGAGACTCAGGCGTCGTCGCTAGCTTCCTTTTCTTTCTTATCCCCTTCCTCGTCCTGCCCTCTCGCCAGAACCACACACCCCCTGACCCTCCCCTTCCTCCCTCCCTCCTCCTTCACCTCCTCCAACCTAGCGCCGACGCCAAAGGAAAGAGCGGCGACGCCGAGAAGAAGAGGGCACCGCCTCAGTCTCATGCGGCGGCCGCGCTCAAAGCCCGACGAAGGCGCCAAAACAAGAGTGCCGTCGCGGCAGATCTGCTTATTGTGCCATGTCCGACGACGAGCAGCAGGCGCCTGGCAGAGGAAGGGGCCGAGGGCGGCGAGGGCGTCGTGGCGGCGGCGGCGGCGAACGCTACAGGAGTAAGTTGACGGCGGCCGGGTTCTCGCCGGCGGCGACAAATTTTTTTATGTTCTAATTTTTTTCCAGTTACTAGGCTTATCGATCCTTGTTCGATGAGACCACCACCTGCGACAATCGATACTGCTCTGGTGGATCTAGAACTTCTTTGGGGGCATGGTCACCATCGTATTGACGCAGTATGGGCAAATGAGGTAAGTTTTTTTCAAACTATTTCTATAGTTTTTTGTTAGATGAATAATATAATAGAATAGAATTAAATTACGAATAGAATTAAATTAAATTAGGAATAGAATTAGATTAAATTACGAGTATATTAGAATAAGTTTAGTTTAGATATATAAATATAAATATTAGGTGAATTGAAGGAATTGAATTAATATAGTTTTGTGCATTAATTATAGGCTGGTGATCGATTTTACCACATTCGTCATACGGGCAATTTAGTTCGATACCATCCACTTTACCTGTCGTATCTCGCCAATGCCGGCTTGTCTAGTGTTCTGCCACTATTCATGAGTCCACCCAGTTATCACATGAAATATTTTTATCAGTGGCCACCTTCTTAAATTGCTCAACTTGACGATCGAACTTCTCCAAGCGTTTTTCTCCGGCTAACAAAATAAACAATCACACGGGTTAGATAAATTCATGACAAAATTACATGAAAATAAATAACAAAATTAAATAAAGAAAGCTTACTGACTCGAAATAGTTGCTTATACATAATTCTGCTTTTAGTCTTCCTTTGCAAATTGCTTGCATAGTGTCGCATGCACCACCTCCACTCCCAACCTCTTCCGATGTTATTCATGGCTTCATAGAGTCCTGCATGTCTATATGAGATGATGCAGACATCATTTCGATCAAACCCTGAACGTGACTTATGAACCATGGCCAACTATCAGTATTCTCACTCTCCACTATGACAAATGCAATTGGAAAAATCTTCTTCCGGCCATCAAATGAGCTCGCCATGAGTAGCACTCCTTTATACTTCCCAGTAAGAAATGTTCCATCAACAACCATGACGCCTGGACAATTCTTGAATCCATCTATACAAGGTCCATAAGCCCAAAATACTCGCTGAAATATCGAATGACCTGGTTGAGTCGAAGGAACTCTTACCCAATCAATCACCGATGTTGGCATTTTTCTCTTGACCAGCCGCAAGAATGTTTGCAAAAAATCATAGGATTCTTCCCAATTTCAATGCAACTTCTTCAATGCTCTTTGTTTCCCATACCAAGCCTTCTTGTAAGTAACTTGCATATTAAACTTATCTTTCAACTCGGCCTGCATAGTTAGAACACTCAAATTTGGTTGAGCACGTACCAAGTGTTTCACGGACTCAGATATAACGTCGACATCAAGATGGCGATGATCTGTCGGTTGAGTCGTACTGCTACAAGTATGCACCAACTCGGCCTTTCTCACGCTCCAATCGCCTCCCACATCTCGACATCCAAACCGCACCATCCAAGGACATTTGTCCTCCTTGTGCATCAAACATCTGATCTTCCATATTGAAGGTGACGACTGCACCACGTTATACTGAAAGTTGCGTTGTAGTGCATATTGTTTAATCGCCACCTGTGCAGCTTGTTTCGAGTGAAATATTTGCCCCTTGTAGAATTCTCCATCAAAACCACCAACAATAGACCCTGGAATTACGCCATATGAATCAGCATATGATAATTCCTCGTCCTCTTCATTACCCTGCAAGTAAAAATATGGAGGATAATTAGGTTGTTCTCCTCCCTCCCCGTCGTCGTCGTCATCCTCCTCCTCCTCCTCCTCCTCCTCCTCATCGTCTTCCTCCTCTCCGTCATCACCGTCATCATAATCATGATCGGATGGCATGCTCCATGTGTCATCTTCTTCCTCTCCACCCCGATCCTCACTGAGCTCAACATGTATCTCAGCACCCAAACAATAAGGATTTTGTGCCATAAAATTCCAAAGCACATTTAAGCTATCATCATCGACAATAGGCATTGCATAATGAAATAAAACACCATTCTGCCATTCTGGAAGACAGTAGGTGAAACCTGTAATCACAGCACTATCTTGTATTGTTTCGTCTCTAATCCGTATTCTCCGAATTAGATGATCACAAAGTTTCTGATAGTTCACCCTGGATGGAATAGTCATCTGAAAACTTACACCACCAACAAAATGGACACCCAAATTGTCTTCTACTTTCTCTGATCGCCACCGAACAGCTAGTTCAAATCTTCTAAAACCACTACATAAAAAACAAACTCACTCATTACTAACCGAACAGCAACCAGACAGCAACACCAGAGCTTCTTTCGGAACTTCTTTCAGTTTTTTGGTGATGAAGAACCGAAGAGAGTTAGGAGGAGGAAGGGGAAGGAGAGTGAGGGAGCCGACGCCGCCATTGTTGTTGAGGTTTCTGTTTCTGGGTTTTGAGGGAGAATAAGGAGTTGATGAGTTTTGGGATTGGTTAATTTATAAAGGAGATTAATGGAGGTGGTGGTTAATTGGTCGTGGGAAGAATGAGAGAGTGGAGAAGTTGAGATTGGATCGTGAAAGTTGGGAAGTTGTAATTTGGGAGGGTTTGGGAATTTATACTACTTGGATTGGGAGTTTGGGACTCCCTTCTTACTAGGGCTGGCCATTTCTGAGAAACTGAACAGAGCAACAACTCAAGATCATAACTTAATTGCTTGCTATTTCAGATCTATACAAGCCTTTGAATTATAAACAAATTTGAGCTGCTTACTTGTGAGGTTCTTTATCTCTTGTTATAATTAAAGGCTTGGTAGAGATTCTATTTTAAATGGATAGTTAACCATTACTGTGAGATTGGAAACTGTGGTATAATGAGTTTTGGCGTGTTCGGGTTCTGCTGCTTTTTCACTGCTCTTTGGCACTCTTTGCTCTTTGGGTCTCAATTTGTGTAATTGTTTTTGTAGGGTGAGACCTCCGGCTCCTCGTGGTGGACGTGACGGACGAGGTGTCCCTACTGCTGCTACTGCCCCTCGTAGTAGGAGACCACCGACGATTCAAGGTCGTGGTGGTGCGACTGCTCCTGTTCAGACCCGGGGTCGTGGTGGGCGTACAGGAAGTCGACCTATTCAACCACCTGAAGCTGAACCGTCTTTATCAACTCCATCGATTCCCGCCCCTGTCGATAGTGGAAGTACACCTGGGTACACCTGCCGAGACTCCTACCGAGACTCCTTCTGTTGACATGGGCGCTCTTGATTCAGAGACAGCTACAAGAGACATTTTTTACTGCGAGAAATGGTTGAAGACGGTGGGTAAAGCTTCTTGTTGGAAGGTGTTTAAGAAGTTGATAGTTGATAGCTACCCGATGGGAGAGTGCATACACTGTCATACTCTAATCAAAGCTCATCCTCACAAAAATGGGACCACTGCAATGAATAACCACATGCACTCATGTTTGGCTAAGTTGCCAGCAAATAAAAATCAGACAGTATTGCAGACATCAGAAGGTGGTCAAGTAAGTGGTTTATGGAAGTTTGATCAGGGAAAAGCTAGATATGCATTAGCCAGTATGATCATTATGGATGAATTGTCATTTCGCTTTGTGGAGAGGGAAGGATTTAAACAATTCATGTCTTCTGTTCAGCCACTGTTTAGGATATCCAGGAGGAAAGCTATAAGAGATGACAGCTTTCATATCTTCTTAGATAAAAAGATGGATTTAATTGATTTTTTTAATCAAGGAGCCAAGGAAGAGTTTCAATAACTACGGATACATGGACTTCTGATAACAACAAGAATTACATGTGTGTTACTGCTCACTTTGTTGGAGGTGATTGGAAGTTGCAGAAGAAGGTGATAGCCTTTGTTCCCATCACAAGTCATACTGGAGTTGATATTGCAGAGAAGCTTGCAGAAGTTCTTGAAGACTGGAAGGTGAAGAATCTGTTCTGCATAACCATGGACAATGCAACTTCAAATGATGTTGTTAGTGAGTGCATGATAACGAAGCTAAAGGAGTGGGGGTGTGATTTGATGGATGGGAAGTTTCTACAGTTTCGATGTGTTGCATACATCATTAATCTGGTGGTACAAGATGGACTGAAAGTGGTTGGTGGTGCTGTGGACAGAGTTCGGGATTGTGTGAAGTGGGTGAGGTCTTCACCAGCTAGGTTGTTAATTCAAGAATGGCATGGAATTTCTGCATGTGGAGTCAACCAAACTGGTGTCTTTGGATGTGCCGACCAGGTGGAACTCCACCTATACCATGTTAGAGTCAGCAGAAAGTTTTGAGGCAGTGTTTACAACTTTGTATTCAAGTCCACACGATCATTCTCTTAGAGATTATCTGGACTCAAGAAGTGGGCTTCCAACTAATCAAGATTGGCAGATGATTAGGAAGTTGAGAGACTATCTGAAAGTCTTCAATGACTTGACCCTTCTAGTCTCTGGTAAGTGGAATTCTTGAACTGCATTGTTTTATTTAAAAATTTTAACGATTTGCCCATTTCTATTTGTGTTATTCTAATCTTCTGGTGGTACCTTCTCATTGTACAGGAACTAAATATGAGACTATGCATATCTTCTTCAAGAAGCTTGTTACGGTATATGACATCATTGAGAAATTGAAGAAGGATCCGCTTGAAGAGATCCAAAAGATGGCTGAGAAGGTTGAGGAAAAGGTACAAAAGTATTGGTTTGAATCATGTGTTGTGAACGAGAAGAACATGAAGGTGAACCACTTAATTTATATAGCATGTGTGCTTGATCCAAGAAGTAAACTTGATTTGGTGTCCGAGGTTTTGGTAATGATGTATGGGAATGTGAAGAGAGGAGAAATGGTTGACTGCATTAGGAAGGAAATGCGACAGCTACTTGAGGTTTACAAAGGGAAGTATGGATCAAAAGCACCCTCCTCTGCATCTAAGCCTACCACTGGTGAGAGCGCCACTGGTGGTGATAGGATTAAGCAGCTAGAGGAGAGGTTTAGGAAGAGGAAAAGGGAAGCACTTCTGCAGGATACAGGAGGTAGCTCCGCTGAGCTTGACATCTATTTAAGATGTCAAACTGATGGCATCAATGAGGAGAGTGATGATGCCAAGTTTGACATCTTGAGTTGGTGGTCTCGACACTCTAGAATATATCCGATTCTTGCGGAGATGGCTAAGGATATCCTAGTTGTTCTCATCTCTTCTGTTGCCTCGGAGGCAACCTTCAGCTGTGGCGCTCGGATTCTCAGTTCATTCAGGTCTTCTTTGAGTGATATCATGTTGGAGGCATTGATTTGTGCGGAGGATTGGATAAAGTATCAAGATGTCGGGGCCGGAGATAATGCCGATAGGGAAGAAGATGAAGAGATCATGGATTTGGAAAGCGGTAAGTTCTTAAACTCTTTTAATTATTGTTTGTTGAAGTAAATAAATACTATTTCTTAAACTCTTTTAATTATTGTTTGTTGAAGTAAATAAATACTATTTCTTTCTACCTAATTCAATGTATGAATATTCTAACAATTTGTTTTCCTTTTTCTTACTCAGTTAATACCACTTTCCAGTCTAGAATGGAAAGTGCAAGAAGTGATGTTGGCAATGTTGCCAATGCAGATGCAAGTCAGAACATTCCAGATGGGAATGAGCAGGAGGGTGAAGAAAATGTGCAGGAGAAAGAGTATGAGAAAGATGGATATGACGATGTTGGTCATCACCTCTTGCTGCAACTGAAAGAAAAGGGTTATGTAGATGTTGGTTCTTCTTCGGTTGATAAGTGATGAATTGGTGGTGACTTGTAATTTGTGACTTTATGAAGTTCATGACTTTATGTTCTAGTATTTGAGACATTAATTTGGTGATTTAAATCTATTTTGTATGAAAAAATGATTGAAACTTGACTTGTGGAGTGATTTAGATGTAGAAATTTAGGGTTGAACGTTAAATTTTAGGCAGTTTGTATCGATCTTGTTTGCATAGGGGTGTTGTCCGGTTCGGTTACCGGGTCGGTTACTCGGTTAAACCGGTGTACATTGTATTTTGCGGACTTTCGTCGAACACTCGCAAGTGAATTTCGTGTTCCCTTTTCTTTTATGTGTATTTGGCAGGTATAATGTTCCAAGATATAACGACCCTGTTGCTGGATCACACGACATTCCAGGATACGGTTGATATCTTTGTTGATCGTTACAGGAACATGGACGCTGGTATAGCTATTGACTGACCACCACCCAAGAGATTGTTAAATTTCACGTTTCTCTGATTTCCATGGAAGCTCGGTCATGGCTAAAAAAAAAATTGTTCTTGGCTCCTGTATCAGCACTTGCATGCGTCTTATCTGGGTTATTTAAGTGTCGGCTGGCTGTTCTTTCTTTTCGCTGGATATTGGCGCTTTGGCTAGTGTGGTTGAGAGAGGAGTTACCTGCTTAAGGAATTTTCTTTTGAGATTATGTGTTGTACTTTTGCGAACATCCAGCTGCAATCTTGGTTCCCCTTCGATTGCATTCCAAGGAAAGGAAAGGAAAGGGGAAAGGATTGTTAATGGTGGTGTTTCTTGTCCCCTTTGTCCTGTGTCTCTGTTGGAGGGTGTTAGAAACACGTTTTCTAAGGAAAACGGATTTCTATATTATCACTATTATTAGGTTTTATTAAATATGGTTAGTAGTCTTTTAGTAGAATTAGGTTTAATATTAGGTTTTCCTATCTTTCGCTATAAATATGTACTTTGCGTTTTAGTCATAATCAAGCAAGAACAATTATTCTGAAAAGTATCTCAAACCCTAATCTCTCTCAATTTCGTCACCTATCCCTAGGCCGTCGGCCATTCTTCTCCTCGATCCCCAATTTCCTCTTCTAAATCCCTAATCCCCAATTCTATCTCAATCCCTAAATATCTATCAATTCCCAAATCTCATCACTCCGACTGTTAGAACCCTAGAATTAGGTTCCTAACATTTGGTATCAGAGCCCGGTTCGAGAATTGAGTTCACCACAACTCTCAACCGGGGATGAGTTATACAACTGGTTCGACGATGAGCTCTTCAAAGCTCTCGAACCTTTCGTGGGCAGAGCTGTGTGACCGGGCTCGCCGCATCGGACGTCGTTGGAGCTCCGAAGAGTCACCGACCGTGCAAGTAGAGACGGTGACCCGAGTCGTCGACGGCGAGCGACCACCAACGTCCGCCGAGGCCGACGAAGCGGTGGAAGTCACCGTCGGAGGGAGCGACACGGAACCGGTGATGGATGAGGAGGCTATGGATGGAGGCGTGACAGAGGAGCAGCAGCTGCCGGTCCGACCTGTGACGGCGGACGAAGGAGGTGGGACACCAGATGCGCACAGCAAAGACTTTGGACTGCTGCTGTCGAACTCCTTGCACCCGATGGTTGGTCTTTCTCCTCCAGCCACTCTGAGGTTCCGTGCGCAGGTCGAAGAGCGACAGGCGTTGACCTAGGGACAGTTAGCCCCCGCCACAAGCTTCTTCGCTGCTGTTTCGCACGGCCCCACGGTTGTTTCCACCAACCGGAGCCGACCAACCATAGAGTCCCCGCTCGCAGCGGAAGAGGTCGAGAAAAATCAATGGGCGCTCAATGCCGCTGCCGCTACCGTCGTCGACAAAGTACTTGGAATCACCACTATGGCACGAAAGATGGCGCCCACAAGCGGGATGATCATGGAGTTTGGACTACCCATGTTGATCGAGTTAGGATGCAAAAGGGAGGTAAGTTTGGTGGAATTACTTATGAAGGGATTATAATGAATAGGGTCCTTCCCCAATTGTTTTATTGGAAGTTTCGGAAGAAAGAACAAGGGCCGCCAGGTGTGTTGAGGGGAGCAATTGATGGCGGCAATGGAGTTGAGGGGCTTGAAGTTCAGCCGAACTTTAAATTGTGGGACAGGTGTATGGGAATCCGAGAATCTACAAAGGAGCAAGTGGAAGTGAGCAGGTTGTGTTGGGAGGAAGTCGCCGGCAAAGGGGCGAGACTGGAGCTGCAGCAGGCGGTTGAAATCATTATCGAGGCACCGGTTGTCGCAACTCCTACCCTGCTGACCACCGCCTCTTCCACCAAGACTGCCGTTGTCGCTTCAAACACCAAAGGAGGCAGTTGTTGTGCGCATGATGGGGAGGAATATGCAGCCGATGGTGCTGATACAGGTGGGTTCGCGAGGAGTATATTTTTGGGGTTGCAGAACTCCGGGAAGCAGGCATCGGATGAGAAGGCAGCATGCAACGATAATCGAGCTGCTGCCAAGTGGGTTACATCGAGAGAGAAGAAAATACGCGGCGGGTTTCCACCGTGTTTGACGGTGAACTATCTGCAAGCACACAAGAATGTGAACATCGGGTTCAACTTGGATTGGTGTGTTAATGAAGCTTGGGGTGGGCATGAAAGGAACTTTGAAGGAAAGGGGATGAAGGCCAGTGGTGAGAATGGACTGCGGGATGGTAAGGTGTTACTGCTTATCGACCCTTTGCTTTCATTAGTGCGCTCACGATCGCGGAAGGAGGAGGAATGGAAGCAACCTGACTTGGGTTATAAGCTCAAGGATCTTTCTAATCAAGCAGCCCTAAGCCCTGAACTGTGGAGGCTGTTGCAAGTAGTAGTTAGAGGATGGTGCATGGCTATGAAAAAGGGCTTGGAAGATGATTATCATACCATGTAGGGGGCACGCATGAATGGTGGGTGGTTGCATTTGGGGGAGTTTGGTGATGAAGATCACAAGGAATTGGAGATCGTGGGTTCTTTTTCTACAGAGTTTGTAAAGAAGAGTATGGACTCATGGGGTCTTGATCCTAATGATGATATGGGACGCTTCGTGAGAAGAGGATCGATGAAAGTTGAAACCGCTAAGGTTGGGTTCGTTCGTGAGTTTGAACGTGACTGGAAGAAAAGAAAGCGCAAGAATGGAGGAGGCAAGACGTGGATTGCACGGTAGACTTGAAGAAATGGGTCAAGCTGATCAACCTTGAGGGCAAGGTTGGTCTCAAGGGGGATGGGATGTTAGAAACACATTTTCTAAGGAAAACTTATTTCTATATTACCACTATTATTAGGTTTTATTAAATATGGTTAGCAGTCTTTTAGTAGAATTAGGTTTAATATTAGGTTTTCCTATCTTTCGCTATAAATATGTACTTTGCGTTTTAGTCATAATCAAGCAAGAACAATTATTCTGAAAAGTATCTCAAACCCTAATCTCTCTCAATTCCGTCTCAATTCCGTCACCTATCTCTAGGCCGTCGGCCATTCTTCTCCTCGATTCCCAATTTCCTCTTCTAAATCCCTAATCCCCAATTCTGTTCTTCCCCAATTCTATCTCAATCCCTAAATATCTATCAATTCCCAAATCTCATCACTCCGACCGTTAGAACCCTAAAATTAGGTTTCTAACAGAGGGTCCTTCAATTATGTGGAAATGGTAGCTCCATATACTATTAGATGGCTAGGTTTCACTATGGGGTCGTTTGCTTCAAGGATTTGGATGTGGGATTTGGTTCTCAAATCCCACACATGAAGGATTTGTCCAAAAGCCATTGTTTGTTGAGCCAAAATGGAGGGCCTCACGGATTTGTAAATCCCACCTCATTCCCTAGGATTTGGAGACAAACTGAAAAACCATCAAATCCATGATAAAAATAGCTCAACAAACAAAAGATTTCCTCAAATCCATAATGCCCAAAATCCCTAATAAATCCCAAGGTTATTAATTAGCAAATCCATGACAAAACCCTCGTTATAAAATCCTTGAAGCAAACGACACTTATGTGTACTTGATGTGGGGAAGGTTTCTTGTACCTGATTTTGCAAACGTGATGAATGATTGATGACCTTGTGCTAGTCGACAAGGATTGAAGCTAGGGGTTTCATGTTTGGTCCCTCGATTGCTTTAGCCATCGGAGCAAAATTTGTCCCTTTTCGGAAGCCCAGAAAGCTGCCCGGTAAGGTGTAGTATGTTGAATAGAGGCAATGCTAAAATGTTTGTTTCTAAATTTGTGGCTAGTTTGAAGTATGTGAAGTCAAGTTTTGGGGTCTAAGTTTATGTCGAGAGTTGAAACCCCGTGTCTAGGGGTGTTTGAATCCGGACTGAATGCCATACAGGTAAAGTGATATGCGAAGAATACGAGCTGGAGTATGGAACAGACTGCCTGGAGATGCAGGTAGATGCTGTGCAGCAAGGGGATCGTGCATTGATAGTCGATGATCTGGTCGCTACAGGTGGAACACTATCAGCAGCGATACGACTCTTGGGTATATTTCCATGGTCTTCCCTTCCCCATTTGTTCTCTGTACTTGAATTCCTCTAGCCGATTCCCACACCAGTCGACATACTGCCGATTGTCAGAATGTATGGGGGCTCAAGTTGTAGAATGTGGATGTGTGGTTGGGTTGCCTGAAGTCAAGGTAATTGGTTGATGAGAAGCCCCATAATTCTGCAATGGAGAGCTGTTTTCCCTGGTTAGTATGAGGAAGTTTTCCCAGCTTTCTGAACCTGCTAAATGTGGTTCCAGGGGCAGTGTAGGCTGAACGGAAAACCAGTTTACATCCTGGTGGAGCCTCGAGAAATAGACAATTGTCACCGAGGTCTGCATCCATCCGAGTTTTTCCCTCGTGCCTTCTTGTTGCGGTTTAACTAATTCAAACTGCAATTCTTTTGCCAGCAGATATCTCCTCTGGGATTTTGAATGTGCCATGCTCTGGCTGGCTTGCAGAACGAGGAAAGCAGCAACATGAGATGAAAGCTTGAGCAACTGTGAATGTTCATCTGTGCTGTTTTCTCCACTCTCACACCTATGCGTTTCCCTGTTAAAATTCAGGGCTTGCCGTATGTATGTTCAATGGTAGCTTTGTGTAGTAGTGATCTTTCCTCTCTGTTCTTGTGGGGGGTTTCTTCTTGGTGTATTGCTGGTTGTCTTTAGGCCCTGTGTTGTAACTCAAGAGAATGAACAGTTTAGGAAAGAAGATGCTTGGCATAGATGAAAGACAGGAGAGCTGTACTTAGCCAGCTAGCTAGCTTGCTGTTGGTTACTCGGTGATGTACCATTCATTCATTTGTGTTGTAGCCTGAATCTCAACCCTTTCCCCAAACCAAAGGGTTTGTATACGAATTAGGCTACGGTGTTGATGGAAATGGATCAGCGCATACAAACATCGTTAGGTTGCTCGCCAGCACTTTCTATGCTGATGCAATGGGATGCAGGCAACAATACACCATTGCAATTGTATTTAGATTCCCCCTATCTGGTCAGATTTGTTCAGCTTCGAGAAAGGTAGAAAGATTCACTCCAGTCCACAATCCAACAACCAAGAAATACGCCATTGGAAACATTAAAAAAAAAAATGTATGTTTTTCCTTATCCATTTCGTCCCTGTGCATTTCTTTTTGCTTGTTTATTTAGGGCAAAGAAATTTAGCATGCGGCTGAGTTCATATAATATGACATTTATCCAAGTAACTTGCATCACAGAGCGACTACTCAAATAAGAAAACCGTTGGCATCAACCTCAAGGTCTCGGATTCAAATCCTGACCGAACATTGCGAAATACAGAAATTTCCTACAACAAAACTTACAATCCAAGGGCAAGGGATTATGAGAATGGTCATTCATGCTTCTCAAAATGTTCGGCTTGAGTACAAAGATGGCGGGTATGAAACATCGATGGCAATGTTCTCTCTCTCCCTAGTTGACTTTCTTCGTATAAGTGGATAGTGAAGCTCCACAAGGTTACAAATAGTTGAGCTGCGGTTCAGTGCAGATCAACTTCTTTATCACAGGCCAACATGTGACATTAAAATTGATAAAAATAGAAGAGAAACGGGAAAGCTAAAACACGAAAAAAGAAGAGAGAACGTAATTCTGTACGGTTCATCTATCTACATTTGATATGTTCAGTGGGGGCTCCCTTGAAATCGTGCCATTTCGGAGAGCTCGACGAGTAACAGAGTATACCTGTTTCCGCAGCTTCGCATTATCAGCTAGTATGTCTACCAACAGTGTACTTAATTCAATGTTCGATGTCGTCTTCACGTTGCGATCAGCACCACCATCATCAGCTAATAGTTGTGCCTGAATGTGGCACACATATAAAATGACCAAAACGAGTGGACAGATATGGATTATGATGGGCGAAAATCAAAGAGAGGAATCCTAGTAAAGTGAAAGGTTGTAGTACCTCCGCAAGAAGAAGGCTAATCCGGTCATCAAATGTTTTCAACAAGTCGAACATGTCTTCAGATGAGGAGTTCGGCACAAAATTGTTATCATCATCTTCAGTGGATAGATTGAGGTTGCATTCTTGAAGTCGACTCCATACAGTCCTGCAATCGTGCAGGAGCCTTTTCTGGAGGTCTTTCTCATCTTCCCCAATCTCTCTCTCACGTTCAAGGTGTTTCTGGAAAAAGCAATACCATTAAGGATAACAATAGTGCAGCACACTACAATTCTCAAAATGATAGTATCAGATGGTTTAGCATTAAAATGGCGTCACCTCAATATCGGATTTCTCATTCATTGCTCGATCACGCTCCTCCTTCAACTGCTTCTGAGAACTTTGAAGGGATTTGAACTCTTTAGCAAGAAACTTTAATTCTGCCTTTGACTTTACTTCCAATACTTCGTATTGCTTCGTCAGGTCCTCAAGCTTCTTTTTGGTAATGTCCAACTCTTCCAGTGCCGCGTCCTTCTGCTGATTTGTAGGTCCATCCTCTAAACTCATGCTTGACTTTTCATCCTGCAACAGTTTCATGTAAACAAAAAATAGTTTCAGATGCTCATAATCTAAAAGAAAAACAAGACAGTTACAAAAGGAAGAATCTATACAGCGAAACCAATAAACTATTTCAGACCTCTTTAGCCTTTAGTTTTAGCTCCATTTCAAAGGCTTTACGCCTGAGTTCTTCCATATCCCATTGCATTTGTGTTAGCCTCTCTCTTTCAACTAAAATAGCCTGCTGCAAGTTTTCCTTATTTTTCTGTTTGGAGGTTTCGAGTTCAACCTCTAGGTCCTTCACCTGGTTTTAGCAAAAGCCTAAAGCATTAGTTAAGATGATAGAAATCATTAACAGATGTGCTGCTATAACACCATATCGAGTTCCCATCTAGTCCAAATAAAAAACAGAAATCTTGAAAGCATTTCACTTGCATTCCACCAGGGCTCAGGTACCTTCTTAGCGAGATAATCTTTAATGGCTCTTTCTTGATTTAACCTTGATATCAGGTCCTCCATGTCGGTTTTCACTGTGCCTAGCCTTCGTTGCAGGGCCGTTAGAACTCTGCTCATTTTATGACGCTGATCAAATGGAATAATTATTTGTGTATTGCCTGAAAGCTGCGACTCAATCTTGCTAAGGATTCCAGAAGAACTGGAAACCTCAGCTCCTCTTGCAATGTCAAGAGATACATCAGCAGTGATTGAATTTGATATACCGGCATTTTCACTGCTTCTCAAAGAGCTTCCATCACTTCCAAAACTCTCACTAGACAACTTCCTAGCATGGCCAAGTGCCGCCCTACAATGCTCTGGCTCAGAGAAAAGATCCACCCCATTGCCAACTAGGGTTTGAACTTTAGAGGCATTGCCATTGTACATGGAATTCCCCAACACATTGTTTGCATGTCTGGTGTGAGGTTTATGCCTAGGAAACCCTTCAAGCTGATCTAGGATAGTATGCCCCATCAAAAATCCTTCATCAATGTTGGACATGCCATACTTCACTAGCTTTTCTATTGGATTTGCGAGATCTTCATCCAATGCTAGATCTTCCATCCCGATTTCAGAACTTTCATCCTTCCCTAACCTTGGAGTTCCAATCTCAGATGCTTCATAGGCAGTATCACTTCCATAATCGGAAGCAACTGACGAGGTAGCAGTGAGAGCAGACAAGCTCGAATTAGGAAGTATCTGAGATGAAGTAGGCGTAGCATCATCAGTTAGGGCTGTTTCTGAAGACTCTTGATAAGCATCCTGAAATGCTAAACAATGAAAGGGGACAAAAAAGTTCAGCAAGGATACATACTTTGAAACAACTACATACACAAAACTTTGAGGTTTAAACAAAAGAATCGTTTGCTATAAGACATGAAGCAGGACTGCTTGGAAGGCATTTGAGTCTCACAATCTAAGGTGGGTAGATGTTGAATTTTTCCTCTTGCAGGAAATGGTGAAGGGTTTTGTCTCCCTGAATTTAAAATCCGAAAGACTTCCTAGAGAAAATTTTAGGACCTCCAAGTTTTAAGGCATCTGAGCTTCGCTGGAAAATGATATACATGTGCCAGCTACTTTTTCCTTTTTAACAGGTAAATTTGCAGCACATCTACAGGTTACTTTGGCCCCAAGGGCTACAATAATACAGGACTTCACTACTCATCTGACGATCTTCCTAATAGAATATTCACTACTCATCCAACGATCTTCCTAATCAAATATACAAGAACAGGAATTGGTGTATACAGTTGAGACTAGAAGGAGATAAGAGGCGTCGATACAGGTTCTTTGGTTTATTAATGTACCTCTGTCACCTGTCTCAGAGGCAGTTAGCAATAAAATGGGTATAGCTGGGACAGAGTCTAATCCCCAAATAGAAGTCAAGTTTTTAAGCCCTATGGATAAAATACAGGTACACCTTTCTAAAGTATAAGCCGAATATGATATAATATCCACAGGCCAAACATGAAGTACATACCAGACCTTGCAGCCACTTCTAGTTCAAGAAAGGACGCAGCTGCTATGCTTCTAGATAAATCAATATCAGATAGTAGCTTTGTCAACCATTCCTCCAAAGAGCATCTCCTCTGTGACACGACTAAGACTTTTAAGATTATTAGTCAAATAGAGAATAAAATCTAATAGAAGAATTCAAATCCCAAGTGAATGAATACGTCCTAGAGATTCAACTAGCAGAAAATAAATTGTCAATCTTTGAGTTCTGTGAGTGTGACATCATGCAACTGATAGAAGTTTAATAACCAAAAGTAGCCAAATCACTAAAATATTCTCAATCCTCTTCGCGATACTTGTGCTTGAACCGGACTTTAAGGAAATGTATCGAACTTATAGTGTGGCTCTGAACTCAGATAAAAGCATTTGAACCTACACTGTGGGACTAGTTAGTTTTCAATACAAGTGAAACTGTGCTGGCCAATTAAACATAACCTAAATATCAAAAAGGAAGTTCCCTCCGAAAATATGCAGCTCTTGCCAAATCATGCAAATGCCTTTACCTTCCCTCCGCCCATCCTCCCTAATTTCTGCTTACACTAGTATGACTGTGAGAGAGAACTTTTCTCATAGAACTATGGTTGAGCGACTAATGAAATTTTAAGATGATGTGCAAGCGAACATCAGAATTTCTGAGCTAAGACACTTTTCGTTCTTTTATAGAAAGAGCCAAGATGATTGGGAACATGATACATCATGCTAGTGAGAATAGGAAATGAACACTATACATTATTCTACACGCATAAGTTTTTCCATATCAGGAGGACCCCCATTTTCCCAGTAAACTACAAAGTCCTTACAATAGTGATTCAAGCCTCAGCTAAGTAAATCTAAAGTTAACAACTCGATTCTAGATGTGCTACGAGTATCTCTAAGGCCACCATAGACTTCAAGAACTAATGGTAAGTTTAACCCACTCGGTCTCGGGTAAAATATTCAGTATTCAAAAACACAAACACACATGCGCCTCGAAAGGGGGAGAGAACATCCAGGGGAGAAACATTTAATTATTTGAATCATTTATGAAAAGCTAAACAAACACAACATTCAGAACAGATATCCTACCTCTTCTAACAATGCTCTGCTTTTCATACGCAGTAGTCCCTTGGGTGGGGCTGGTGGAAGACTCTTCTTGGGAAATGCCTTTTTAAGCTGGGAAACAAGAACTACTAATATGAACACATATTTGCTCATATATTTTCCATACAAATATTTTATTCTAGCAAATCTCATCAAGAACAGTGAATGCATATATTATCCAAGGGACTAAAGCAACCTATTATAGAAAGCTGTGAACTTACATCTGCAAATAACCTCAGAAAATCATTAAATCTTCTCAGTACTCCACGTGTAACTGTTACCCCTTCAGGTGATTGCAAACCAACCTGAACCCTGTAAAACTGCCCCATCTGATCGTTAACTCGAATGAAGTTTAGAACTAGTATGAAATATTCATCATACATTCCCAAATGCACTGGAATGGTACTAAGAACATAAAGTTTAGCAAAGAAATTGATGCAGTGCATGTCCAAGGAATTCCTTTACTCACAAAACCCACTTACTAGATTTCCAACTCATTCAACATTACGCGTTCTATAAAACAATATAAGGTGATGGTGAACAAATATCAAATAAAAAAGAAGAGAAATCGCTGGTCCGAAATATTCACTAACTGCTAAAAGGCCTGCACTCTAGTGCCTGCACTTATAGCCAATGGTTAATTCATCAATTTGAACCCCCATCTCCATGAACAAATCAGAAGTGACATGGAAGTCTACTACAAAACTAGTTAGAATTCTAACCAAGCTGAAGGTAAGTCACCAAACAAATAACTTCATGTTTTTCACTGTGTTTTGTTGATGGGGACATGCCCGAACATATTAGTAAATATTGTCGTATCAAGCTAAAGAACTGGTACCATATGGTCATTTATTTATGACAATCAACCACATTGCCAGACCAGAAAAGTAACCATCCTAAACAAGGAGATGGTGGAATAACAGGAACCCATTAGCATTTGCAAATTGCAACTAAACGCAATATTAAGTCCATGCGATAACAACTTCTACCCCTTGACATAAAAAGGAAAAAGTTGAAGAGGCATTCAATTCATGTACCACTACAGGATCTGAATCTCTGGACTTCGCAAGGACAACCCATGAAGGAATAGTGACACAGTAACTCCACCCTGTTCTAGGATCATGTGGCCAAACCGTGTCTCGTCCACTCTGCAAAACAAATCGCATTTATCCTTAATCTTTAGATACATCAAAACGTTTCCAGGAATGGCAGTTAATGCTAAACTAAAAAAATATTGAAGAACAAACAACAAAAACTGTATTTATCCTAATCATTTTCTTCAAAAAAAAAATCCTAATCTTTAGATGGCAGGTCCTGCAAAATTAAAAACTTCAAAGGACAAACAGCAAAGTTATCCAAATAGTTCCGGTTAAGTGAAAAGGAACGATAGCTCACTAAGACATCCATGCAAATGGACGATGATCAATATCTGCCCGATTGCATTATGCATTTAACTTCTAGCTAGTAGCTTTTATTTATTGAAATTCCCGGAAAATCATATTGCTGAGGAACAAAAGAAAAGTTGCTTCAACTTATTCCACTATAGCTGTAAAGCCTAGGTGATACCGTCCTACATTTAGAACAAATCTGATATACATTTCAGTATTTCACAAAAGAATAACTAGTAAATGCTAGGGTGTAGAATCAAACAATTCAGTGTTCGAACCATGGGTCCAACATCACCTATAAAGAAACTAATAGATGTAAGAGCAACAAATTAGGAAAGGTTCATTCTCAAACTTCAGAATAGTTTATGATAGTTGAGGAGGTATAAAGAACTTGTCCGGACCACTTTAACATGGAATTTTTTGATTGTCTATTGTACACAGAGACCGAAAAGGTACCATCAATAGCCACGTACCAAAATCGTGCACTTGCTTGAGCTAAAATACCAACATAATGGATCTAAAGCAACCGAATGCAGGATGAGATTCACACTCGGAAGGAATGCCACAAGTAGAAAGAATGCAGTCACCTGACAAAACTGCTGAAGCATTTGCACATATTATCGCCAACTGGTGCAGCAATAAATGATTGATCAATTGCCTAACCATCCTAACTTCACAATACTAGTTTTCCTACGACCATAAACCTGGACAGCCAGTTACATCAAGCTGTCACTGGTCAGAACAATCATGGCATGGATCAAATGCCATCATGACTTGGAAGGTATTGCAGTTCTAGATTTTCAGTACAGACCAAAAGGTCGAAGACAGGATCCAATTCTAACCAGACTCAAATCCAAGAACAAATCAGATACATTTCGCAAAAGAATAGCTAGTAAATGCACGATTGAAGCCAACCAATCCAGAGTGCGTACCGTGGGACCAACATCACCTATAGAGAAACTAAATAGATGTAAGAGCAACAAATTAGGAAAGGTCGATTCTCAACTTCAGAACAGTTTATGATAGTTAAGGAGGTGCGAAGAACTTGTTTCAAGACCACTATAAACATGGTATGAACTTGCGTTTCATTGTCTATCAGGAAGAAGACTGAAAAGGTACCACCAACAGCCACATACTAAAATCCTGCACTTGCTTCAGCTAAAACACGAGCATAATGGATCTAAAGCAACCGAATTCTGGATGAGATTCAAACAACAACTTAACGAAAACAGAGATGAAGACTAATGCCACAAGTCCAGAGAATGATGTTAACTGGTAAAGCCATTAAAAAGCGTTTGCACATATTATCGCCAGCTGATGCAGTAATGAATGAGATTGATCAATCACCTAACCACCCTAATTTCAAATGCCTAGTTTTCCGAATACCATAAACTGTCACAGCCAGTTAAATCAATCAGATCGAGCTTCCATAGCCTCACAGGTCAGAACGATCAGGTCAGCTATCAAATGCCACCATGACTTCAAAAGCTAGCCCAGTTCCGAGCATTTTCGTTACAGACCAAACACCATTGAAGAGAAGATCAAATTCTGACCAAAATCAAAATCCTAGAGCTCATAGAGGTCGATCAAAGGCGATCAGCAACTCAGTAGCTAAGCGAATTGAACAGAGTACCAAAATAAGGAGGAATTGGAATTGTACCAATTTTCGAGGAGGAGGGCTCCAATCCATCCCCAAGGGCAAAGGCGAAGTCCCATCGTGCCTGTGCTTCGGAGGACTCCGTCTCTGCATCATTACTTCTCCTCTTCACACGGCCTCCTCTCAGTTGCACCAGGCAAACTTCGAGAAATCGAGAATGATCGTTGAGATCACTCTCTCTTTCTCAACTCGCTCGAATTGAATCGGGGCAGCAAATTCCCCTTTCTCCAACTATCTATTCTCCAATCGTCAGGAATAGAAACAACGAAATCGAGAGCAGCTAAGCTAGGGTTTTGATGGGATCAGGATCGGATAAGAAACCAGTAACGATGAACGGATGAAAGAGAAGCGGAGGTAGCGTCGGATGGACGGAATTCTCATTCCATCATCCCCGTCATGATTTGAACCTTTTAGAATTTCCTCCGTGGAGGAGCAACACGACGACGAAGACCAGGTGGCGGAAGAAATGAAACGCCGTAGCCAGGCGGCAGCGCGGCGGAGCGTAACGTGTCAACTGCTGGTTTTGGTCTTTCCGTTTCCTCCTCGGGTCTTCTCTCTCTCAGTATTCTTCTCCTCTCCTCCTAGTCCAACTGGAGCTACGAGACGACGAGAACAAGAGACGGGTTCGACCGTTCGGGTTAAAGGGCAGGGCAGCAGGCCAACAAAGAATATTGCAAAATTCTTTTTTTTCAATATTTTCCTATGTGTTTTTTTCCCTCTAAAACTAACAAATTTCAAATCCACAAAGTATAAGAAAGATTTATGGTCATGACAGAGAAATAATTCAATCCTAATTAATAATAGGTTTTATGAGTTTAAAACTTTAAATGGAAGAATTTCTCTAAACACTCTGAAATTGAAGGTGCTTAGGGTGGATTAGTGCATCGATACGTTTAGGAAGTAATCACGATGAACTTTAAAGTAAAATCGTGTGGGGCTAGTCCCAAAATGGATAATATTTTGGTCCTAAAAATGAGATGTTACCGGTGGTACCAAGTACCAACGCCATTTTGTGGTCCTTCTTGAACGATGGTGAGACGAACCTCAACGATGATGTCCAGTCATAAAGGAAGTGTAATGTCATACCTTAGGCAAATTTTAGATCGACAAAAGCTTAGTTTGGCCCTGCTGTAGCTTTTGCAGAAGCAGCTTCTGGCTGGAGCTTTTAGATAAGTACTTTTCAAAAAAAGCAGTTTAGTGTTTGGCTGTAAAACTATTAGAAGTGCTTTTTAATATGAGCGGTTGTGTAAAATGACTATAAAGGACTTATAATATAAAATATAAATAAAAATTCGAAACAATAAAAAGTAGTCAAAATGGATCTTGTTAGATTTCTTTTATATTAAATAATATGATTTTATAATTTATTTTATTTTTAAAATGATATAAATGAAGGAAAATTATATTTTCTGAAATAAAATTAAAATATGGTAAGGATAATCTTGTATTTTCAAAACAGCTTTTCGCAGAAGCTCCAAATCGGAGCTTCTGCTTTTATGTTATACAAAAGCGCTTTTCGGCTTTTCAAAAGCCGAGCTTTTAGAGGTGTTTGGCCCTGCTTAAGCTTTTGAAGCCGAAAAGCACTTCTAAAAGCCGGGCCAAACATAGGCAAAGTACGAGAGAGATCCATGGCTCATTAGCAATAATCCAACCTTAACTAGCAAGAGGTATTCAGGGGTGAAACGAAAAGGTTATTGCAAGAACGATGAAGTTAAACATGTTAGAGTAGTCAAAAGAGTTAAAGGAAATACCACATTGGCGGGAGAAGGACAGTGCAAGTGGTTTTTAAGTTTGCTTTCCACTTTAGTTTATTGGATAAAGTGGTTAGTAGGCTTTTGGGAAAAAGTGTGGGCTATTTAATTTGACATATTAATTTCGGATTTTTAATTACCGAAATTATTTTGATTAATTAATTCTGAATAATTAATTGATGTTTGACTTTTGTGAAACGACGTAACCCTTTGGAAGGGAACTGCTGTTTTCACAATAAATAAAAGTCTTCTACAACCAGACTTCTCGTCCAACATTCATCTTCTTCTCCTCGTTTTTCTTCTCCAAAAACACAGACACATCAGTCAGAAAGGTGATGCTTTTGGACTTTGGTTGAAGGGACTCATGGAGGTTGTTTGCCTACTTCCTACCAGCAACAACGTAGTGGGGTAAATAACACTCTAAGGAGAGTGATTAATCACGCCTTCAATCCGTTTTCTCTATACTGTTTCCCTGACAAAACATGTTATTGGGAAGTCATTATGATGTACCCAAACAAAAAACAATGTGGGTTAGACCCAAAACACACAATATCTTAGTAAAAAAATATTTGATATATTATATTTTCTCTCGCATACAAAGAAATTTTTTATAAGAAAAAATAAAAATTATTTGTCGTCATTTTACATCCACCAGGAGGATAGAATATTAATAAAGTGCTCAGATGTTACATTGTTTTTTTTTAGGTGATGCTCAGATGGTGCTCAGGAAGGTTTGGAAGGGGCAGCTAAATGATGCTCGTGGTGGGACTGTTCTGCAGGAAATTTGTGCTCTTCAAGATTTATTTGAGTAGTTTGAGGCTTTCTTTGTTAGACATCAGTGTAATAGGGTTGCACATTTTGTGAAAAAAGCTCTTTCGTTGTTCCCTCTGATTGTAAGGTTCAATTTTGTTTCTTGGTTGTTTTGAGCTATGTAACTGCTTTGTATATGTATGTTTACTCGTTAATACGAGCGATCTTGTGATAAAAAAAACAAGAGGATAGAATCCTCACATACTTATGTGAACTAAGTTTGGTTCCCATGTCAACCAAAGATCAACGGGTTATACGGTTTACGGTTAACCCAAACTAAGATTCCATGAGACCCAAATACAATTTTGGCCCACGAATTTGGCCATTTAATGGTTTCATTGATAACAAAATCAAAGTGGTCTCTAGACCAAGTTGACATTCAAAATGGGTCACATTGTTACAACTAGTCTACCATCCCACTGTTTCAGGTGGAATTTCGCGTGATCAATGCACCCTGACTTCAAGAAAACGGAAAACGATGTTACTCGGTTCACACCTCTTCAAACACTGTTCGAATGAGGGTGTTCGATGCATACATCTAAGGAACTTGCTACTTTTACCTCTACTCCTATGGAGATTCCTTGAGAGCTCCGCAACTACTGACTACAACTAAACAGAGAAGCCTCGTTGGAGGGTCCCTGATGCTACTACTACTGTTACTGTTCTAGAGAGAAAAGGTAAATTTTGACGAGACTTGTTGTGGTTTGATTTGTCTGTCTTTCCTCCAGAACCTTGCTGCCGGTTTTGTTGTGCCTCCTCCTCAGTGTTATTAAAGCCGAACTGAGCCGCTCGGCCCGACCGGTAAAGTCGTCACCTGGTCGCAAAACTGGCTCGAAATAGTCTAAAAGCCGCTCCGGTTTTATGTAGCGGTTGGCGAGCGGCCGAGGCGGTTAACCGTTCGAGCCAATCGAGCCGCTCGTCCGGGTTTTGCCATTCAACCAATAAATTTAATTAAAAATATTGCAAAATATTGAAAATTGAAATAAACCAAAAACGTCGGGCTCTCAAACTGAATCATTATTTCCATTTCACAATTTCGAAGGAAAGAGATGAGCTCTGATTAAGAAATGTCCACTATTTATACTAATAATTTTTATCAGGTATCGGTTTCTAACTGTTTTTAAACGGTCTAATGTCGGTTGGACCACTAAAGTGCGAGCCGTTCGCATTACCGGGTCATGCTCCGGTTCGGTTCTGACAACATTGCTCCTCCTCTAACCGCCTTCTCTCTCTTCCCGAAAATCAGCTCCACGTAGCATCCAGTAACTTCCCTGAGCGTTCTTTGCAAATCAAGTGTTGCTTCTGGTAACCACCTTGACACGTCATCATGTCACTTGACCATTGGGCGGTCACCGTACACAAAACAAATTGGACGGTATCCATGTTGATTAAGACAACGATCTATGGATGGTACGTATATTAAATGGTCCCCATACCCTAGCATCATCCATTAGGGTTTGGACGGTATCCATTACGTTGGACACTACCATCCATTATGGATTTTGGATGGTATCCATGTATCTGGACACTACCATCCATTATGGATTTTGGATGGTATCTATGTATTTGGACACTACCATCCATTATGGAATTTTGGATGGTATCCATGTATTTGGACACTACCATCCATTATTCCTCTGGCCTGACTTGATATATTGGACCATTCATGTACACATGGACCAACTACTTAAATTGGCCAAGCTGTTCACACAAGCAATAATTAATAAAAATTATTTTGGTGTAAACAAATGCCCCCCACAACTTAGTTTATAAGAACTAATTCTTATGAACGAAGTTGTTGACACCAACTATACTAGATGCGCAACCACTTGAAGTAGATGTTGGCTTTATGTAGCCATGTCCAAGTCACATAAGGAATGTAATTCCTTCCTGGCCATGTAAACAAAACACACCAAAAGGGTGTCCCTCTCCAACTCGGCTAATAACACAATTTTTAGCCAATTAACGTAGCCTACCTTTTCCTTTTTTGATAAGGTACACCAATTCTTTTTCATGTAGGACACACCTTCCAATTCATATCCTACTAGCAAAAGGAAACTCATTCCTAGAAGGACACAACTAATTTTTCTCTTATAAATTGATGTCTCCATCCATCATAATTCACTAGCTTATAACCCGACCCGTTGGTCGGAGGAGCTGAGCCGAATATTGAATTATTGGGATAACCCGTAGATTCAACCATTAAGCTAAATTGGCCTAATGGTGAGTACCGCCTAGCATATCCCTAATAATCATACCAAAGTGAATATATTGAAACATAAACAGTACATCAGAAGTTGGTACAACCATGAAGTTAGACCATTAAAAACATACCAATGAAATTGAATAGCATCGAAAAACTTCAACTTCATTATATAATTACATGAGATCAGAAAGAGAACACCATTAATTTGTTTTATAAAACTTTCATCTTGTCGTTATTGTGCTTTCTGGTTTTTGTCAGGCCATGATAAAATCTAAGGAAATCAAGAACGAATAACACGATTTGGGATAGGAACCGCTATTGTCGTATTCCTAGAAAATGGTGGTAAACACGGACTCACCTGCCAAACTGGTTTGGATTGAGATTTTTATCGGGTATCAGGGAACCATGTGATTATAAATTAGACTTGATCAAAACGGGTCAAAACTTAAAATTCAGCCTGTTTGACCGACCCATGCCAAATTCTAATTATTCGTTACTTTTAAACTTTCTATTTGAAAATAAAAAATAGTGAAAGAAAAGAGATGACTGCAATTCGCCATTTGCACATCACTTATTCGGGAATAAAACCATAGAAATTCAAAAGGAACTGAAAATGTTTAGGATCGTTTTAATGTTTAAAATAACCAAATAGATCTTTCTGTTTAGTTTTTTACTAACAAATACCAAACGATTCCCTATAAAATACATTATAATGTGATCATTATGATATCAAATAATTATATAATATATATTTGAAATGATAAAATTGGACTAATTGGGTTGGTTGAGGTTGAACCATTGAATAACTTTAAAATACATTATATTTTAGCCACTAAGATATAAAATAATAGTATAATATATATTATCCCAGAGAAAATAACTTGTTTTAGAATGTCAAACCAATG